AAAAAAAAAGTAAACGGGAAAACCTCATTCCATCTAAACCTGAACACCAGAAAGTCACAGCTTTGAATAAACTGTTGTTACAGAAGGAATTAATAAGCAAACATGGAACCCTGTTAACACATCCCATAGAGTTTACAGTAGTCCACAGCACAAAATTCTGCCTTTGTCATGTCTGTCGGTCTCTTTGTATGTATACATACCAGTGATAATATCTACATGTGTAGATAGATATGTGTGTGTCACACATATGTACGTCGTATGTGCACGATACTTATATGCTGGGTACTTCAGATGCATTAACTCATCTACTCTTACAACAGCCTATTAGAGAGGTATATTATGACTATCATTTTATAGGTGAGAAATGGAGGTTATGGAAACTATCTCAAATACTATTAGTAAGTGGCCGAGCCAGGGTTGCGGGGGGCTCCCATCTGTAGTCTTAACTACTCTACTGTATTGTCATTTGTATTTCTAAGTATTAAAGCACATTTACATAAAGGTTCATGGAGGAATTTGTGATCTCATCATTTGGCTTAGTATGCTGTATGCCTTAATCTTAAAGTTACTATAGATTCAAACATGTTAATTAATGGCATGTCTCTTACATTTTCTTTCCAGAGAACAGCTGAGATATAGATGAAATTCAAGGTTATAAGATCCAAGGCTTGAGTAATTCCTCCCTTGAAGTAGTTCTCGGAAAAGACACAAATTAAAATCACAGGACCTTTATTAGCTGGCCCAAAGAAATCACACTCTGAGCCCAAGTGCAAAACTATGGTGGGAGGGAATGTTCCCAGTGAGAACATGAATTACATCTGATTCTCATTATTTGCTAATCCCATATTTGAGAATTTGCTTACTCACTTAAATGTATTTGTATTCCCTGAAATCAATATTCATTTAAGTTTTCCAGGTCTTTGGGGCATGCAGGCTGAATGGGTCACGTTCCCGGCTAAGGTTAAAGAAGATCCCCCCGGTCTCTTGATTCAGTTCTCGCATTGTAATCAAGTGTCCTTTCTGCGGTATGTTTAGTCCTTGCTTGCCACACTTTTGTGCTTTTTGCTGATGATTTTGGTGTTTGAGACGGCCCCTAAGTAGAATGCCAAAGTGCCACCTCGCGTACCTAAGAGCAAAAAGGCCGTCTTGTCCCTTACAGAGAAATCATCTGCTACGTGATCTCCATTCTGGTGTGGGTTACAGGGCCGCTGGCCGTGAGTTCCACGTTAACATGACACAAGGTGACTCTAGACAGAAACATACATAATACGAGGGCATGTATTGATCAGTTAATGAAAATCCTCTGACTAGAGGCAGGAACATGGTCCTATATTTCTCTTAGGAATAATGATTTGCTAATTTGGTGTTCACAGCAACGTCATAAACCATAATCACCATGAGGAAGAAGAAAAGAGAGTGTCTTGTCGAGGAATCGTATCAGAGTGCATGTGTGGACTCCAAGTTCTATGCAGCTTTCCGAGCTGTATGTTACCGAGGATAAACATGCGTAAGCCGCTGACGGGGCACATCTCTCCCTCTCCCTCCTGGAACGATCCTTCCCCAAGCAATAGGAATGACCATCAGGAATAAAGATTCACAAATAAATGACAAGAAAAGCAAAAAAATACTGACTAGAATCTGTAATGACGCATGCCTCGGCCCTAGTGAGGAACAGGGGGCAGAATGTAATGGTCTGCCCTGTCGCCTGGGCTGGTCGGCTCAGGGAGCTTGGATGAAGCAGAAGGGGGTTAGAGAAACAAACCATGGTTACCTATAGACAATCTTAAGATACCAGTATCATCCTAATCCCAAATGTCTCAAGGACATTATTCAACTATTAAAATGGAATTATGCAGACCATAAGGTTTTTTTTAAGAAAAATTTCCAAGACTTTCCCCCTTTACATACTTGAAAAGTATTCAGAGATCTTTGGTCAATAAAACTTTTTAATAAAATTTAGAATAGGAAAGTAAATGCATAGGTGTTTATTTAGAGCCGGTTGCTAAGATTTAAGAAAAAGAACTGAGGGAATGCATCCGATTCCAGTGATCAGAGACGCTGTGCAAATCCAGCTGCCAACTGTCTGCTGCTGGCAGGGCTGGGCCTCCAAGGAGCACACAGGAGCGGGAGCAACATTCTCCCCAAACTTGAAAACGCCTTTGTCCTCTGATGATTAAGTTCCATGATACCATCTCTATCCAGTAAGATCAACCCCCTAAGAATTAATTTCTCACTGTATGAGTAAGGATTCCCCAAATTATAAGCAAGACCACAGCATAGACCTGTCTGCCTGTCTACAGATCTCGTGTCGTCTGCTGTGTTACATCCTGTCCAAGGAAAGGCTGGACTGGACGGTTGGTAAAATCTAGACCGTATTAAAGAGTAAGACTGTGCTGGTGTGTCTGCTGCACCATCCAGAGAAGATACTCGGATCAGTGGGCATGAGAGTTGTAATCCTTTGGCAGATGACATTGTGCCGACCAATACTGTCCTTACTGTTTTGGGGACTTACACCTAGTGCCACCTGGAGTTCTCTACCCAAGGTCTTGCCCAGCCAGAGAAGCCTGCTCTGAGATCACGTGAGTACCTTTGAGGCATGCTGGGTATGGCAGGGGAGCTAATGCCTCCTAGAAGCCATCCTCAGCCAATGACTGATGGATAAATAAGAATTGTGTGCTGTCCCCGGGCTCCCAGAGTTTCATCTCCTGTCCTCGGATCCAGGTCCAGTTGCCCATAGCGGTAATAGGGTTGCTAACACAAACATAACTGAGGCCTCCACGGTCCCATTCTCCTACCAACATCTCCTTCACCTTCCCAATAAATTACGTCCATTCAAATCCTTATCTCAGAATCTTATTTCCCACAGAGTTTCTTTCTACAAAGCGTTCTCGTTTCTGGGACATTTGTATTTTTCACTGTATATCAAATAACTGGTTTTCTGCTTTATACATTGGTCTTTTATTAGCTTCACTAGTGGATATCAGTTCCCCCTAGGGTAATAATTCTGAGTAGATGGACAAAATACAGAGTGTAGACAAGCAGAGTCAAGAATTAATCTTAAAAAAAAAATGATTACTTTGTGAGATAGTCTCTTGCTTACCTAGTAAATGTTTGATCTCATCTAGCACGGACCTATACAGATATGTTGTCACGGTTGAGTTCCTCCCCCACGTTGTAGAAAGAGAGAGAGATTCACTGGGGGAAGAGTTTATCTAATTTAATGGGTTTGTAGATGTAACAGGTTTCTAGAATACCAGCCCTTTCAACCAAGTTACCAAGGCAGATGGGCAAGGAGACCCATGGGAGGTAGACACTCCCTGTGAGGGCCATGGTGATGCTTATAAGAGCAAAGACAGGTCTGTGGTTTGTTCTACATGCCAGGTGGGTTTTGAGTATCACTGTAAGAATTAAATGAGTTGGTAAACATAATCATAAAGGAACATAAACAAAAAAGAGAGAGAGAGAGAGAGAGAGAGAGACTATTAACTACTCAGATATTTCCGCTAAATACCACCGAAGAAAAGAATCCAAGGCAAAAAGAATATTGACAAAAAGTCAAAACAGCTTGATGTCACCCTGGGGAAAACCATGGTACTGAGAAAGATCTGTGAACGGAAGGACAGCTCAAATCCTCGGTCTGCGGTTTTTAGTTTGGAGACATAAACGCCTCCAACTTCATTTCCTGTTCATCTGTGACCTGAAGAAAGCGGGAGCAGTCTCTCAGGCTGTGGGAGACAGGCAGCCGGCACAAGACCTATTTTCTAAAAAGGGGAGGGGGGAGTCTTTTTCTTAGGCTTCCAGAGAAAGGAAAGAAAAAAGTATGTTTGCTCAAATGGCCAGTGTTTTATAGTTGGAATGAGAGAGCACAGAGAGACATGCATGGGTGTGAGACAGATGGTGTCCCCGCCTTCCTAAGTTGGAGGTGCCTTTTGATTTTTTCCCAATAACAGCCCCCAATTACATTATGATCATTATCTGAAGAGAGACCGAGTATTTTACTAAGTAAGGCACCCAGTTCACCGGACAGCACCGAAGAGCTGCACAGAGCTGCGGTCTGCACACATCACCGCAGCCAAAGGAAGACTCAAAAGACTGACACAGGACAGTGATGGCTGCCAACCCCCTTGACTGGACGGAACTCGGTACACACTGTCACATTCAGCCTCGGGACTCTGTGCTGCCTGACCACTTTCTGTCTCAATCTCTCCCTGCAGTTTTTTTGTTTTTATTTATTTATTTATTTATTTATTTTTACGGTCCTTCAACTCCTGTTGGGTCTCTGAGCCATCATGGAAATGGAGTTTTGTGTGTGTGTGTGATTTTTTAAGTAAACTTTGAGTGTAATCATACTGTCTTTTTTTTTTTTTTCACTTTGGTAGGTACTACCTCCTTCCCCCACCAGTTTTTATTAACAGAATAATAAACATGTTCAGCTGATCCGCTGTAGCAAAACCTGTCACCATCTTCACAGGACCTAGTGTAATTTCAGTGACCTTCTGTAGCCGGCATACAGTATATTTTCCCAGAGCCCGAAATCAAGCGTCCAAGAAGATACAGATCATGCAAACCTCATTATATAATGCTTTTAGGTCTAATTGTATATTGCTTTAAGTTTACCTTCTTTTTAACAGAGTTTCCTTTTTATTTTTTTAAAAAAATTTTACTTATTTATTTATTTGAGAGAGGGAGAGAGAGTGTATGAGCAGGGGGAAGGGCAGAGAAAGAGAGAGAGAGAGAATCCCAAGCAGAGTCCCCAAGTGCAAAGCGCAGCAAGGACTCATCTCAGGACCCTGAGATCATGAGCTGAAACCAAGAGTCAGAGGCCCAACTGAGCCACCCAGGTGCCCTGGAGTTGGAAGAAAGGATGGAAGGAAGAAGGAAAGAAGGGAAGGAAGGGAAGGAGGGAGAGAGAGAGAGGGAGAGAGAGGAAGGCAGGCAGAAAGGCAGGCCACCCTGGCCGCAGGTGGGCAGCAGGAGGCAGAGAGCATGAGGAGGCTCACCCCCACAGACGACGCCGTCCAGGCTTTCACAGCGGCGGTCGTCACACTCGCACGTTTTCCCATACACCCTGCGGTCCCCCGGAGGGTAGCAGGTGCACTTGCCGCACTCGCATTTACCTGCAAAACAGGGAGAGCACAGGGCTTAGAAGCGTCCCAGAATCAGCCCCGCTTTCCAGGCACACACGCACACGGTGAAGCCTGTTCAACCGTTCGGCGAATAAATTTTCTTCCCTGCCTCTGGTAAACGGACGCCCAAGAACAAGAGCCACGGAGCCCAGCGGGGGGGGGGGGGGGGGGGGGGGGGGGGGGGTGAAGTGACACTCCTTTCATTCATTTTTGAAGACTAATACAGTTAGGAATCCCTCTGGGTATTTCCTATTTAACTTCACTTGATGATACCACATGGTATATGTTTAAACATATTTTAGTATAATGTCATTTGAAAAAATGTTCTTATATATTTTTATTTTGGGTCTACTGGCCACATAAGGAAAAAAAATGCTCACAGGTACATTTCAAGGCAATGTTTTATGGCTATTTATGGACGCCAGTTTTATAATTTATAGAACTCATTTTATCATGGAATGCTTACCAAAGTGCACGACCTAAATACCCTTATTGCTCTTGACTCAAAATTTTAAAGTATAAGCCTTTTTTGGAACGAGTTGGGTTCACAGTTTGGGAATTCCTTAACTATGGTCGTTATGGCTGTCAGCATTACTTCTTGGGCTGTAACTACGTGTCAAACACTATACTTCTTCCCATTCCATCATTTTGTTTTCATGATTCCACTCACTGACGAGCGCTATCACTACCATTTTACTAAACAGGAAACAGACACACACGGAGGCCAAGTTCCTCTCCATGGTGAACCAGCTCATAAGGAATAGATTCAAAATTTACATCCATCCTCATTAACCTTAAAGTTTGTGCAGTTAACCATAAGGCCAGCCTGCATCTTAATATACCCAACGCAGCACCACGAGGCTATGAGAAAGAAAATTCCTTCTGCCTGCGGAGCTGGCGCCGGCTTGGCAGACATTCATCTGGGTGACTACCCTGAGACATCTGTTACTCTCTGTCATTAGCCCAACCGTCGTAATGACACACCCACTGAAATGATCATAAGACGCTTTGGGGCTGACCCTGCAATGTTGTTAGTCATTCTGTGCTGCATTTGTATCTTGTTAAAGAAATTCCAAGTTGGTAGATGGTGGAAGAAAGGAAAATTAGTATTTAGAATCATATAATTTCAGAGCTGTAATTAAGATAATCTAATGCAGTGATTCATAATCTTTTCCGGCAGAAGTGGTGGGGTCACGGTCCCTTTGAGGATCTGGTGAGAGACATCGCAATGGACAGTGTGGTTTTGGCTGCTCCTCGGCCAGCCTCTCTCCGCCCTTGGAGACAGGCCCAAGTTCAGGGGGAGGCAGAGTCCCTCTCTTTCCCCGGTGACACTCCCTCTTCCCATGTCCTGGTGGACAGAAGAGGGACACAGCAGACACTGTTGGCCAGGGCTTTGCTTCTCGAGGGTGAAAGCAAAGACACAGGGTCTGTGGCAGGAGCACCCCAGCAACAGCACAGCAGTGAGTGTCCAGGAGCGGAGGAGCTCGGCACGAAGCAACGGCGGCAGGACGAGTTGTTGGCAGGGCCTGGCTTCCCTGGGGCGCTGCCTGAACTGGGTGTTCACACTTGCACTCTGCGCCTGAACCCTTCACATAAAATCCTCCTCCGTCCCCGTTGATGCAGGTGGTCTCTGTTTCCACAGACAAGAACTCTAGCTGGTAGACCTCAGATCTCTCCTTGGAAAAATATAGCAGCACACGTTTACACTTTTGTAAAATGTCAGGAGGATCCATGACTCCCCACAGTTTATTTAACAGATGAGGAAACGCAACCAAGCTGAGGCTGAATGATCTAAGGCCGGCGAAGTAGACATCAGCAGGGCTGGTGATGGGACCCATTCTTCTGAGCCCCAAGGACCTTCTGGTGCCCACAAACTTACTCGTCCTCATCATGGTGTGTGTGTGTGTGTGTGTGTGTGTATGAATGACAACAAAAACCCAGACTGTGGAGACACAGAGACTAACCATACAACCATCAGCAGTACGACCATGTGTGGCTAACGAGTCCTTCATGTGCAGATATGGGAAACATCAACCATGTTGTTCCTGAGAGGGCATGCAGTCCTAGTTATCAAGTCAAGATAGATTTTTAAGTTTGAGGATGTATGTGTTTTTGGTGACAATTTTATTAACATTTGAAGGCATTCAAGAAGTTTTTTGGATATAAGTATTATTGGTTTCTGTGCCTCTTTGGGAAGGATGACCTGATTACTGGCACATGGGGGCACCTGGGTGGTGTAATCGGTTAAGACTTTAGGTTTCAGCTTAGGTCATGATCTCAGGGTTGAGAGATCAAGTCCCATGTCAGGCTCCGAGCTGATTGTGGAGCTTGCTTGCGATTCCCTCTCCTTCTCCTTCTGCCCCTGCCCACTGCTTACCCTCAAGCTCTCTCTCAAAAAAAAAATAAATACACAAACAAACAAATAAGTAAACAGTGGCATATGTGTTCAAATATCTACATTTCATTGTTTTCATTATGCATAGTTTGTCTTATATTTCTTCTATAAAGTTAGATTGCAAAGTGTTCATGTTGGATCTTAGGTCCATTTTTTTCCCCTAATAGATTTTAATTCATGTATATTTTTCAAATATCAGAGTATAATTAACCACTTTGAAATTCTGGGTGTTTTATTTATTTATTTATTTATTGGTCATGTATCTGTCAGAGTTTTAAAAAGCTACATTAAGCCAACTATTAGCTGAGTTACTTTACAGATATAGCTCTGATACAGTTTATAGGTTGTAGTTGCTTCATATGCAAAGACAAAAAAATCATAAGTCAAGACAGGCTAATGTATTACAGATAGAAAGCTAAAGAAGAGTAAATTGTTCATGTCATCCACATTTTAAATTGCGTTATTCTGCTATCTTAGGTGACCACTTTGGTCTAGTCACTACCAAGACACATACTTGCCAGGTAAATTTCTACTCATCTTTCAAGATCCAAAGTCTATTTCACCAAATCCATGATTCTTGCGTCCTCCTACTCACACGCCTTCACAAATACAGCAGAGTCAACTGCCTTCTCATGTGTCCTCAGGATGTTTGAATCAGTATTTATTGAACAGATGCACTAAACAATAATCACATGTAAATGGTTTAATAATAACATTCCCCTGACACATAGGATGTTTCTTCCAGAATACATATGCCTTCCCAATTACCAGAAAGCCTTCATCGGTGTTTCCCACAGTTACATCGATGAAATCTGTCCCACAGCAAGCTCATCATCTTAATTTACAACCATACTTCTCTTCCTATGTCTTGTTATCGGGAGAAAGTCACCATCATTTGATCTGTCGCCACATCTTAAAAACACCTGATAACATAGTGGATTCCTTCCTTCTTTTAATGAGCTATTCTTCTCCTTCCAATTTGAAATTTCATGAGATCCACTTTTTTAATTTAAATTTGATTAATTAACATACAGTGTATTATTAGTTTCAGGTGTAGAGTTCGGTGATTCATCAGTCTTACATAACACCCAGTGATCATTACATCACGTGCCCTCCTTAATAATGCCCCTCACCCAGTGAGCCCCCACGCCTCTCCCAGAGATCCACTTTCTTAAAACATGTCTGTGATTATGTAATTGCCTTTCATGTGATAGTCCCGCATAGACCTTCAAGGCAGAGATCAAATTCCTCAGCAGAGCTCTCCACACCTGCTCCAACTCACCTGTCAAAGCAGATATTCGATGTTCACAGTGCACTCATGTTCAGAGACTTTGCTTTTTGCTCCACTTCTTCTCTCTGCTGTGAGCTCTACCACTTTTTCTGCACAAGCGGACCCACTATTCAACAGCCAGCTCAGATCTCCTCACGTCTATGAAACCTTCCTTGTCATCCCAATTCAGTTACCTGGAACATGTGTGCTTCCTCTCTGATCCCACAGTAATTTGTTCACACCACTGGTAGATTACTGAATGCAAGCTTTATACTGCATAAGTACATGCTTGGATCTGACCACAAATACTGAACTCTGTGGTCAAGGCTGACAGTGAGATATGTGTCCTGTTGTCTCTGTTGGTGGAGTAGGAAACCCTGACATACAGATTTATTGCCTTTTTTTTTTTTTAATAAGAAATCGAGTCCATTCTCTTTTCTTTATTTGCTAAATGATATTATTATTTCAATGACTGCTTTAGCGTTGTGAGCTATAAATCTGTCTTCTCAAATGACTATCAATATTCATATAAGTAAGAATGTAGGATAATGGAAGTTTGCATGTCTAGCACTAATAAGTGCTATTTTATTTAACAAATTGAGAGGAAAATCTAAAGAAAGGTATGCTCAAAGAAATAAAAGCAAGCCAGGTAATTTTTGAAAAGATAATCCAGAGACAGATGGAAAGGACAGAAATAACTATCTAACAAATGAATTCAGTCAACATCATCAATATCATCCAACCAAAACTTACATGAACTTTACACTGAGTCTCTCCATTCTTATTAAATTTTTAGAAAGCAGATAATCTTTAAGCACACACAAAAAGTCAGTCCAATGATATCATTTTATAAGGGACTGAAATACCTATGAATTGCATTCTAAGGCTTTGACATAAGCAAAAAGTAATGAACTAAGATAGATATCAAGATATTGACTAAGGTAGATATCAAGAAGTTCTGATTGAAAAAGATTTTACTTAAACATTTTAAATTTGACACTTCCTTAAAATACAGGAAAAACTAAGTGAAGAATGACAAGCTGCAGTTTATTCCTAAACACAACTAGTCATTTTAACAAATAAAATATACCTCACTTTAAATATCATCTTTAATTTAAATTTTCTTACACTCCCTAAGAAAGCTAAATATCTTTCAAACACGTTTGCCTTGAAGTACATTTTTCCCCTAAGTACCAGATTAAAATTTAAAACCCTAATGCACTTACTCCAAAATAGTTCTCATATGAAATTCAGCAAACATGAAGAATTTCTTTTGTGCAAAATACTTGATCAGATATGAGAGTTTAATTCTAAACAAGTTATATA